CAAAGAATTCCATTATACTCCTAGTATTAATAACTAAATCCAGCAATGTAGAGAAAACAATATAAATATACAAAATTTACAAAAAATACAGCATATCAATTATTAACCTACCAAAAAAGAATTTAGGACAATGCTACCATTCACAATAGTAGCAAGAAAAATTAAATACTTAGGAATTAACCTAAGCAAGGAAGTGAGACCTTTACAATAAAAATTACAGTGCTACTGTAACAAAGAGAGATTGAAGAGAACACCAGAAAACAGAAAGACATTATCTGTTTCTCAATAGGTAGAACCTTCAGCATCAAAATGGCCACAATTGAAAAACTGATATGTAGATTTAATTCAATCCCAATCAAAACACCAACAGCATTTCCCATAGATCTAGAAAAAACAATCTTAAACTTATATGGAACCAGAAGAAGTCCAACATAGCAAAAGAAATCCTGGGTCACAAAAGCAAAGCAGAAGGCATCACAATCCCAGATTTGAAATTAAATTACTACAGCAATAAAAATAGCATGATACTGGGACAAAAATAACATGTGGAACAGTGAACCAGAACAGAGGATGCAGAAAGAATAGCCTCCTGCCAGGCAGATTCAGCCACTTCCGCATTGACAAAAGAGCCAACAACATAAGCTGGAGAAAGTATAGCCTCTTTAGTAAATGGTGTTTGGAAAACTGGCTACACATGTCAGAAGACTGAAGCTAGACCCATTTCTCTTACCATGCACTACACCAAAATTAAAATGGTTCAAAGATCTAGATATTGAAACAGAAACACTTAACCTTCTGCAAGATAAAGTAGGTAAAATTATTGAAATCATAGGAATAGGCAAGGACTTTTAGAACAGAACCCTAATTGCAGAAGAAATAACATCAAAAATCAACACAGGAGGTCTTATTAAATTAAAAATCTTCTGAGCAGCAATGAAAACAGTGGAGAGACAACATACAGAATGGGAAAAAATTTGGCCACTACATGTTGGAGAAAGGACAAACATCTATAATATATAAAGAACTCCAAAAATTAGACTCCAATATATAAAAGAACCTATCAAAAATGGACTACTGAAATTAATAGATACTTCTCAGAAGTACAAATCACTAATAAGTACATGAAAAAATGTTCAGTATCTCTGGCCATTAGATAAATGCAAATCAAAAGAACACTGGGATTCCATCTCACTCTAGAAAGAATGGCTATCATCAATAAAACAAATAATAACAAATAGTGATGAGGCTCTGGAAAAAAAGGAACTCTTCTACATGGTTGGTAGGAATGTAAGCAATTATCACCACTATGGAAAATGTATGGAGAGTCCTCAAGAAACTGAAAATAGGGCTGGTGATTTAGCTCAGTGGTTCTGCTTTCTACCCACAAGCACAAGGACCTGAGTTTGATCCCTGGACCCCCCCCCAAAAAAAAGAGGAAACTGAAAATAGAAATTCCATGCAAACCAGATCTTTTCCTTCTAGATATCTCCCAAAAGAGTTAAATAGCAATATATTACATGCACACCCCTGCTTATAGCACCATAATTCATAATAGTTAAATCAGGAAAATGGCCCCTATATCCATCATTAGATGAACTGATAAAGAAACTGTATTATTTATGCCTAAAGGAGTACTACTTTGCTATAAAGAAAACAGTCATTTGTAGACATGGATGTACCTTGTGACTATAATATTAAGTGAAATAAATCAGACACTGAAGCTTAAAAATTACATGATTTCTCTTAGATGAGAATACCAAAGCATAAATAAATAAAAAAGCAAAGTAAAATGGATAATACAGGTAATAGGAAACAAAGTGATAGATCCTTCACAAATGGGAAAGGGGACTGATAGATGGAGGAAGATGGGTGACTTGGTGGGTAAAGGGAAGGGGGTGTAAAAAGAATTAAAATATGTCATATATATGTGCCAACTATCCACAAAGAATGGAATCACTATGTGTCACAAGCATATGCTAACGAAAAAGAAAAATAAAAGAAATAATGGGTTTGCATTTTCTTAAAGTAATGCTGTCGGACAATAATAAATCCAGATCTCAGAAGCTCAGACAGCACCAAGTAGGATAAACACTAACTACCATATTCAAGCACACCATACTAAACCTTCATGACACCAAAACAAAGAAAATTTTGAAAGAATCCAGGCATAAATGGATGAATTTATTATAAAATGAAGATAATAATTAGAACAGAGTTTTCATGAGAACAGAAGTGTAGAATGAAATATTTAATGTATTTAAAACTATCTATACTTTTATAGACAGCAATGACATTCTTCAAAAGTGAAGGAGAAGTACATTCTGTGAAAAACAAAATCTTAAATAACTAACTTCCAGCAGGCAAACCCCTACAGAAATGTTAATAGAAGTTCTTTCAAACTTCATAAGGGAAGTGATAGTGGTCCAAGTACTCACATCTATTTAAAGACAACTATTAATCTGAAGAGTTACAATGCAGTATTTTAAAAATTTTAATCAAGGTAAAATATTTGCTTAACACATTTCCCATTTAGAAAAAAATAGAGCAGCTAACTGCCAGTATTCATTTAATTTTCTGCAATTGAGAATGACTATATTCTGTGAAAAAAAAAGTACCACTACTGAACACTATAAGTAGAATTTGTTTTTGTTACCAAACACTATTGGTATATTAAAGCAATGTGAGAATCATAAAAGAAAATATGTTGTGGCAAAATTTGCTAGCATTATGACTATAGTCCACAAGTTATCTCAGAGTAAAAGCTGTTGTTACAGAAGGAACTGGTGACACACAGATGTAAGAGGTGAGTAAAATAAATTTTAAAAAAAATGTTTACTTTGCTAGCAAAGGATCAACTGCACTCAGAGCTGTGCCAAATGACTGACCCTGGACTGGGTGACAATCTGACTTTTATAAGACTTCTATAATCATGACCTCATTTTAGGTAATAAGACATTCTAGTTCCAGCAGTTCCCGTCACAAATCATGGTCACAAGACAGTACAATGTTAATCCAAATGTAGCAGTTTCTTTCAGGATGTTTATCTTTAGCTATTTCCACCCACAAGGGTGGAGGTCAGAGATAGGAAGGCAGGATTGGTGACATTCCTTTCATCTTATCACTTTTATAGCCATATAATTTACAGAAAGTTTTATAGCTCAGGTACTGTTAACTTAGCTTGAACATTTGGTCTCATCCTAGGATGTCTTAGCACATCAGGCATCTGTTAATTTTAAACTGTGGCTACAAGCCTTTAAGCTTAAATGGTGAAACCTCAGGTGTTTTTGTTAAGAAAAGAAAAGCAAATTACAGAAGCAAAAGTCAGCAGTTATTCCATACTTTTAAAAACACTTTATAGGCTGCAGACTATTTACAGAAGTTCTATCACTATGGTCCCAAACACTGTCATTAAGTTTTCTTGGGTCAAATAGGAAGGAACAAAAATAACAACCTTTAGATGATTATAGCAAATGGATAAGTGAAATGAATGACAATGATGTCATAAGGCATTATAAGAGGAACTTAATATTATATTAAGAGGAACTTAAACCCAATTATCTCATAATTTCTTTTACTTTTTGTTTTGTTTAAATAGGATCTAATCATGCTTCAATCACTGTATGATTTATACCTTACACGTTAAGAGTATTATTTTACTTTATTTCCTTGTAATCACGTACTGGTGAAATAAAGCCATTAGTATGTTAGAGTTTGCCCCCAGTGGCCTTTCTAAGTGTGTCCCTGTGTCATCATACAAAATACATCTCCTCTCTATATTTCCTTCATGATAGTGGTATATGTTAATAAAGGTTCTCCAGATGTTCTAATCTCAATAAATTCTTACATTCCCCAAAATTTTGAGGATGCTGAAGAATTTTTATGTATGTGTGTTACTGATATTTATAGCATTTAAAACATACATATGTATCATTTTTTAAAATGCCAACAAAATAACTACGTGAATAACCAAAGTTTGTCAGCCTGTTTTTGAGGTAAGAAAGGACATAACATGAAAAGAATGAAATAAAACTCAGTGTTAAACAATTACCATTTCTCATCGACATTCACTCTACTGTATGCAGCACGCACATTTCTCATTTAGTCATATACACTATTAAAACATATATTTGATAGACAATTAATTATCTTTACTGCTTCATCTAGTCCAAGGACATTTTTAAGTGAAGATGCTGTGTTTACTTCTTGGAAATTTGTGGATAGTAGGCCAACTCAGCTGTGTTGTGTTGGAGCTGGCTGGCCCATGGATTCATAAGATCCTTCAGCTTCCTTCATATCTCGTTACATAATTAAAGCCACATCTGAACCATTACTTTTTCCCTTAGGGTAAATTTGTTCTTTTCCTTTCTCTAACACAAGTGCCTTCACAAATACTTCCAATTCCTAACTAAGGCATTTTTCACTTAATAGTGTGTTTTAAATATGGTGAGACAAGGTACAAAGGAATGCATAAATACATGTACAAGCGTCAGTTCTTCCAGGTTGATCTAAGTGACATGGCTGATACATATTTTCTTTAATTTTTTTTTTTTTTTGGACTGGGGATTGAACTCGGGTCCTTGCGCTTACAAGGCAGGCCACCGAACCGCTGAGCTAAATCCCCGGCCCTATATTTTCTTTAATATTCAAGGCCACAGTATTTTCAAACTTTGGAGCATCAAAATTAATGCCATAAGCCTCCGCACATTCCCTTCAGCTTCTCAGAACAGAATATCTGTGAGAGGGTGGGGAAAGTTCAAACTTCACCTGTTCCTGGAAACAGAACTGACCTGCTAACAGGAAAGAAATAGCTGTGGTGATTCCCAGTCTTTGCCAGGAAAGCTCTCCTTCTGCTGACGGGAACCTCTTGGAATCCATGCCAAACCTTACTCCTGACCCCTGTCTTGCTTATGAATTACAGTTAGTAATTTCATGCCCCTCCCTCGGAACTCCTTATAAAAGCTAGGCTTTGCTCACCTAATGATCATCAGATTCTTGCAAGAGGCAAAAGAGGTAAGCGGGAGCTCAAAGAAATGGAGAAGGTGAGGAAATGCTCCTGCCTCAGAGAACACAGGAGCTGAGACTTAGCAAAGGCTACCTTGGGAGCCCTCTAGGAAAGTAGGGAATAGAGATTCTCCAATTCATTTCAAATTATAGAAGGGGATGGGTTCGATCAGTCTCAATGCACCCCTATAGCCGTAGACACAGGAGATGCAAAGAGGCAGTGGTATCTCTGCACATCCTCTCCCTGACCACATCTCTTTCAGATAGTCTGATTGCGTCCTCTTGCACTGACGTGATGCTACTGTCCATGGCCCTCAACAGCATGTCCTGGATGCTGCTATCCTGCCTGATGCTTGTATCTCAAGTGCATGGTAAGATTTCTCAGGTGCAAGGTCAGAACCAAAAAGGGACAGAAGGCTCATACGTGTCTCCTGTGGTAATGGTGAGATGTACCCCACAAGAAAACTACCTGACATTCCTCCATTATCTTGCCTTTCTTCTGGTTAACAGTGGTGATGGTACCACAGTGGTCCATTAACAATAGAAACAGATGGATTTCCACTTGGCCTGGAACTCACAATTTATGTTAATGGGTTAAGGTGGGCAAGTGTGGAAAGTCAGTAGTGAATTTTAGTGAAGAGTAAAGATTGAAGAACCCAAGGTAGCAGCTGTCACCCAGAGTCAGAGGAAATGTGGAACATGAATTAAGGGAAATAATCAAATGAAAAGAGAGGCTCACTCAAATAGTAGGCCTAGTTCAAGTTCAAATGTTTCTCAAAGGGTGTAGGAAGTCAGGATTAGAGATTTAAAACCTAAGGATAGGTCCCATAAACATTCAGTCACTCCTCTCTATTTCTTTTTCTACCCCAGGTGAAGACTCCCAGGAGGGAATTCTCTCTTCACGCATCAGTTGTCCCAGCGGTGCTAAAGCCTATGGGTCCTACTGCTATGCACTATTTAAGACACCAAAATCTTGGTTTGATGCAGACGTGAGTGTTTACTGACAAGGTTTCAGGCAAAAGGGGAAAAGACGTGCGGGTCTTGGGGTGAGATATTCTCCACTCTCAGGCTTTCTTGGGAATGAGAATGAACATGCTTGTCCTCCAGACAGTCGCTCTTTTGTATAACTCTGTCCTGCTGTTCCCCATAAGATGCTTGCTCTCTCTCATTTTCTCATTTCTCTGTGCAGCTGGCCTGTCAGAAGCGGCCTTCAGGACACCTTGTGTCTATCCTCAGTGGAGCTGAAGGGTCCTTCGTGTCTTCCCTGATCAAGAGCAATGCGATCAGCTCCTATTATGTTTGGATTGGGCTCCATGACCCCACACTGGTGCGAGTCCATAGTTTCCTCTTTCCTGTCTCTCAACTGGTTATTGTTTCCCAATCTCCCTCTCCTGGACCTGCCTAGGAAGACAGACAGAAGTAGTGACCTCAGATTCTGGGTGATATTTGGGACAAAGGAATGTCCTTGAGGTCAGTAGAAGAACAGAGTTTCGTGAAGATTCCTAAGCTTCAAATTAATCTGTGTTTTAAATGTTGTATAATTTTCACATAGCCCCTTTGAAAGCGTTTCTCTGAACTTTAAGGAGCCTGCCCACACCATTTCAAGGAAATCCTAAGTGAAGATATGATCTATATTTGCTCTTCATAGAATAGTTATTGCTTTGAGGTCAAAGGCTAACTACTAATACAGCATCACATATACTCTGCAAGAAACATATTACTTTATGACAAATGCCTCACATTTGCTAATAGGAGAGGATAATTTAGGGAGAGTATACCATGGGGGGTCTTAGAAGTCTGAGGAGAAGCAGATAAAATTCCCTGAAGTTGAATAGAGTGATCCATCTAAGGAATCGGGCCAGCAAAACTGTAATAGCCACTCCCTTCATCGGACTGCATCCTCTACCCTATAGGGCCTAGAACCCAATGGAGGAGGATGGGAGTGGAGCAGCACTGATCTGCTGGATTACTTCAACTGGGAGAGGAACCCTTCCATTGCCTCAGACCGTGGTTACTGTGGAAGTGTGACACTAAACTCAGGTAAAAACACAGGAGCAACCTCTGCCCAGCCTTTGCCATCCATACTTCCCATTTTAGGGTCTGCACTTTAGGGAAACTTACTGGTCTAGGAAACACACTGTTTGTTTGTCTCCTAACATCTTGTCTCATTACTACTCTGTTTTAAACTCGAACCCCTGGAACAGGACACTAGTGAAGGTTACAAGTGATAAACCTTGTCTCCCCCCCTTGCCTCAGCTTCCCAAATAGCTAGAAATATAAACATGCACCACTAAGCATGGCCTAACTGGTCTTTTTGAAAAATTAAATTTTTTATTATTACATGTTCACAGTAATGATTACATTCCTCAAGGAGAGTTGGTACATGTACATAACCACATCTTAATTCTTTTGTAATACCCTTTCTCTCTCCTCACTCCCTGCATCTTTTGGTCCCCTTCCTTTCTACAAAAATCTATCTTCCTATTTCCAATATCTCTCTCTTATTTTGTTCTTTATTTATATTTTGAGGTTCTCATATAAGAGGAAACATTCAACATTTAAGCTTTTGTATCTGATTATTTTGCTTAACATTTTTGTCTTGTTCACAAAATCTACCAGTTCAATTAACTTTACCTCCTCTGTCTTTAGGATTTCTGAAATGGAGAGATTATAATTGCGGTGTGCAGTTACCTTATGTTTGCAAGTTCAAGAACTAAGATCGATAGCGGCCTCAACTTGTATGAACAAGAGTCCAAGTATGAAGATTTACCTAAAAGGGAACATTCTCCTCATACTCCAAAACCTGAAATCTCCCTGCGAATCTTCTGCTCTCCTCTCTGCCTAGGCACTTTTTTCTGTGCTATAAAACCTGAGATTTCAGAGAGCATTAATAAATTTTCAATTTCTACTGATGTTGTATTTCTTGTATACTTATGCTCTACTTTTACATAAGCGTCTATTTATTAAAAATTGTGTAGGAAGGAAACTTCCCTCTTCCTGTCTCCACAGACCTATGAGAAAATGCAGAATGATGCTCTCCCATCAGTGTATTGGATGAAGGCTTTGGCCATACTTCTGTAAGGTTATGTTTCAGAAAAATGAACATATTGTTCACCGAAACACTCACTGCCAATACATTGCTCCAGTTCGTGTCACTGATGGTGTGATAAGAGGCTCTGATTTTGTTTAGCACACTACTTTTTGGGGAGTTACATTAGCAGCATGGCAGAGTAGGACACTTCAGCATGTGATTCCTTACAGAAACATCAATTTGAACAACTATCTGTTCACAAAAATAGACTTACAAGAGCTAAGGTGTCCGAGTAGAAGATTTCAGCACTTTTATACAGCAAGAAATCACAACTGTACAAAGGTAAAGAGTTTCACATTGTGCCTGTTACCTTTTCCCTATACCTAGGCAGCACAGAATTGAGGGAAATACCTTGTGCTTGGACAAAGATGATTGACAAGAGCCTTGCTCTATTGTGGGCCCCAACAGCAGAACCATCCCTGTTAAACAGGATGCTAAGCAGGTTCCCATGTTCCCTGTCAGGAAGCAGAAAGAAGCATTCTTATACCTGACTACTGTCTTTGCTTCTAGGAGAGACAAAATAAATCTCTCTGTCTTTAAGTGTGGGTTCTGGGTATTTTATCCTGGCAGCAGAGATCAATGTTAGTACCTGTAGTGGAGTCCTTGCTCTGACTGTACCTAATTATGTAGTTCCAAAGGCTTTAGAAGTGGTTTTCAGGAAGTGCTTAGAAAGTATTGGAGATGCAGGCTAGAGAAGTCCTAAAATGCTATGAGCAGAGCCTAATAGATGATTCTGATTAGAGTTGAAAAGACCAGATTACCAATAGGAATTCAGAGAGCAAAAATCAGGCTCAGGAGATTTTATTTGGGAAGAAGGGTTTCCTTAAGGCCACCTGTACTATACTCAGTCAAAAAGTTTGTGTATATTTTCCTCATGCATAACACTATATGTGAGACTAAGATCATGGGCAATAGACTAATTGATCTGGTGGAGGAAATTCAAAAACAGCCAAAAATTCAGGGTGTGGCATGGGTATTGCTGGCTATTACTCAGATTTATAGTGAACATCAGGAGGCAAAAGATGTGAAAAGTTTACGGTTTTACCTTAAGAGAGGCACCTGCAAAGTTGGATCCAAGGAGAGCGTGGTTACTGAAAAGATTAACATTAAGAAGAAATCAAGTACTTTGCATCAGGACCATTGAGAAGATGCCTTGAGTTCATCTCAAGAAATGATCAGACTCCCACTGAAGACAGGTTCAAGTGTGTAAAAGAGTAAACTTATTTGAAAGAATTTCCTTTGAGAAAAAAAAAAATTCTAGGTGCCTTTCTTATTCAGAGACACTAAACAGATGTAGCCTTGGGCCCATCGATTCAGGTAGTCAGAGGCTGTGGCAGCCACAGTGGGCAGGTGGTACAGACACTGGTCAAGCTGCAGACAGCTCTTGGTATCCCCCATGGTGCAGGTTTTTCAGGCATGTAGAAAGCAAAAGCTATGGATTCACACCGGTTCTTATCCAGATTTCATGGGTTCTGGGGACCAGGCAAAAATCTATTGCAGTGTTGCACTTTCTGCCTGCAGTCCCTGAGAAGGCAAGGCATGAAGGAGTGGGAGTGAAGCAGAAGTTACAGCGAGACCCCAGGAAGCTGGAGATGACAGAAATGTAAAATGTGTGCTGAGAAAAACAGCAAGAAGTCAGCGGAGCCGGCAACAACAAACACGGAAACAGTCCATTGAGGTTTCGACTGGTGAGGCTGTGAGGTTAAGGCTGCTGAATACCCTTAGAGCTCCCATCTCTTCACAAATGGCCCCGTGTGCTGGATGTGGAACTATTCTGGTCTGATTCCTTTCTAGGCACCTTTTCCTCACTTTTTGGGTGAGAAGATTTATTCTGTGCCACTGTATATTGGGAGTATTTAACTTTATTTTTTAATTCAACAGGGGTGAACAGCTAAGAGTTTGCCTTGAATCTTAGAGGAAACTACGGACTTGGACTTTTTTTGGGAGGAGGAACCAGGATTGAACTCGGGGCTTAGACTTTTTAGCATTGCTGAAGCTGTTAGGAAGTTGGAAAAATTATAGATTCACTAAATACATTTTGTATTATGAAATAGACATGAGACTTCAGGGCCAGGGCCACAATATTGTGGTTTAGATCTTAAATATTCCTCAAAGTCTCAAGTTCAGAGGTAGGCCCTATTCAGAAAGGGCATGTCACTGAGGGCATTACCTAAAGGGCTCTATTTTTGTCCCTTGATGCTCCCTTTGCTCCCAACTTCCTAGTTGCCATTGTTTGAACAGCTTTCCTCTGCCATGCCATTCTACCATGCCATTTTTTTTTTTTAACAGAAGTCTGCAAAACATGGACTGGACACTGGAAACTGAGCCAAATGAATGCCTCCTCTTTTAATTTGTGTGTTTGCATGCAGTATTTTATTGAAGTATGAGGAAAGTGGCTAATATAAATGTAGAACTTAAAATTTTAAAACTACTCGAAGAAAACACAAGTGAAAACTTCATGCCATTAGTCTGAGAAGTGATTTTTTAAAGATAAACCTCCTGTAGCATAGAGAAAACATGTTTGCAAAGAAAAATTAATAATTAACACAACAAAAGGCCAATATACAAAATGAGAAAAATACTTAGAAATCTTTCTTCAGATAAGGGAGTTCAGATAACTCAATGAAAAGAAAAATCCCAGTTAAAATATCTGCAAAGGACCTGCATATCCATTTCCAAATACAAATACATCTTTAAATTTAAGCATGTTTTTGAATTCTCCCAGAGGTGTTTCAAAAGAAGTGCTTAATATCTCTAATTCTTAGGAAAATTAATATTAAAACCATAATGTGACTTTGACATCATGGGAATGACGATTATCTAAAAGATGGAAGCTAAATCTTGGCAAGAATACAAAAAAAAAAAAAAAAGAAAGAAAAAGAAAGAAAATCCCTTACTGTTGATGGAAACGTAGTTTTATGTTTATGCAAAAGGCTACAGATACAACTCAAAAACTTAGAGATCGAACTACCATATGATTCAGCAATTCTACTAATGGGTGAACATCCAAAGGAAATGAAATCAGCATGTAGAATAGAGGCATTTCTTCAACATCCATAATCATTACAGCATTATATAAGATAGCCATGATATGGAGTCAACCTCAATGTCTGCCAATGAGTAAGTTTTCTTTATGTAGTATGTATATGCAAAATAGAATTCATTTCAGCCTTAAGAGGAAAAATGATCCTGTCATTTGGGACAATAGAAATGAGCCTGCATTCCATAGTATAAAGTGAAATAATCCTATGTGAGAGAGGCACTATAAAGAATCTCTTATAACAGCATGTATTAGATCAAATTACTGAAATCTAACAGTAAAACTACCTTTGAACTCCGTCCAGTCAGGCCTCACATGCAGTTTACCTGGGTTCTCTTATGAGTGCTCTTTCCTCTGGATGCTCCCCACCTCTGATGACTTTCTTTTTCACAGCTCTAGGTAGTTCCTAGGAGCAACTGGAGCTACTGATGAGGAATCAGTACTAGAAGAGAGAAGATACTCTTTTGAAACTTATGGAAGAAAAACACTGGGTTTCGCTTTTTAGACAACTTCAGAAAAATCAGTGCATACCGCCAATGGCATGTGATGGGCCTTGGTTGAAGACTGAATTACTTTATATCTTATAATCATTATTACAGTGAAGAAGATAATGTGGTGTCAGTTAAATCATTTGAGTTATAAACTATCCCAGTATCTAAGTGTATGAATAGCATCAGTGAAACAGCAGAGAAGCTGACCCTCGGAAAGATGGAGGGTCCGAGTTTTGTCAAATGTGCAGCAGTGTTCTCTTACGGAAAGTTGAAAATGGAGCAGTGATGCTAAGAATATAGGAAATATCACTACACATGCATTCAAGCGGAGAGTTTGAAGAATGTAAGACTTGATATCATAATCAAAGATGACTAAATGGAACATGAAATTATCTAAGCCTTTTTTGTCATCTGGTAATCCTCAAACACCCTATTACTATCATAAAAAGTCAAAGGGCAGGTCTGTCCAGAGAGGAAAGGTTTCTCAAATTTAGCAGTCCCCAGATCAGAAGCCAACCATCTTTTTTTTTTCCATTAAGCTTATTTTAACATTTAAATTAAACAATACAGTTACATTTGTCATTGAATCTTGTACCTTTACAAGATATATCCTGTTTTTGTTTTTCCCCCATATCCCTGCCCACTCCTCATCCCCTTCACCCTTCCCATTTGCAAAGACTTTGTGTTCATTTTTTCCTTTTTTCACATTTTTTCTTTTCCCTTATTTCTTTTCTCCTTTCCTTCCCACATCCCCTTTACCATTTTCTTCCTATTTCACGCTCCCAATTATACCATTTGAACCTTACTTACACTTTTAGTTTTTCACACCAGAGAAACTATCTGGTATTTACTCATGTGTCCTATTTATTTCACTTAAGAGTATGGGTTCAATGTGCATCCATTTAGCTGTAGATGTTTCTACTTTCTCAATCTTTATGACTGAGTAGTATTCCATTTTATAGAAAAAGCACATCTTCTTTACCCAGTCTCCAGGTGATGGGCATTTGGGTTGTTTCCAAGTTTTAGCTGTTAAGAACTGTGCTGCACGTATATGGGTGCACATATATCACTATGGTATGATTCTTTTAATTCTTTTTGAAAGATGCCAAGCAGAGGGATAGCTGGGTCAGATGGAACCTCTAATCCTAGTTCTTTGAAATATCTCCATATTGATTTCCACAGTAGAACC